CTTCAGATCAGACCCCTAGCTCCATCACTGATTAGATGTGAGATCTTCAAAAAACCAAACATTTCCTCATCAGATACTATTATCCTTGTGGGGATAATAATAGCACTGGACCTCGCAGAGTGCTGTACGCAATAAAGACAAGCTCTGGTTACCCAACAACAGGCTCCTAGTCCAAATTGTGTCCAGAGCTCCCTTTTCTCTTTCAAGGTGAACCCAACTTCTCTGCATCTGCACATTTCTCTAGGGGAAAGTGGAGCCATGTGTCAGCACACACCGATGAAATACACTTTCTCTCTCCTGCTGCATACATCAGAGTCCTGCAATGTAGCTGCTCCTCTGAGAGTTCCCACATGATCTCCTTTCTCTTCTTTCGTCTTTCTGCTTCTCCCTCTTCCTGCCCTGTTCATCCTCAGGGTGCAGAGGGGCTGCAGAGCTCAAGCCCTCAGTGCGCCCTCCTGTCTCCTGCTGCTGCTGGCTACAGCCCTGAGGTGCTGGTGTCACATTGCACTTTCTTCAAGAAAGTCACCGCAGTCCACTGTACTTTCTTGCAAGTGCTGACATAAACATTTCTCTGACAGAATCTGGTAACATTCTAACACTGCCAATACTTAGATTAATGTTGACACTTTTGTTGACCCTCTAAATACAGATAAGCTGAAGTGGTTCAGCTATGTCAGCATTCAGGGGCCTAAACTTTCCAAATTGACTACAACTACTCTAGAGCTTGCTTACTGCTAGGAAAAAGTGTCATATCACCTGCCAAACAGGGATGTTTTTCTTTTTCAGATAAGACTTATGTAAAAATTAAGCTACTCTTTTTTATTTTATTATTTTTCTTACCTTGGCTGCTTGGATGCTCTGTATGTTCCAGCATAGAAATTATATTTCACAGTTGTTTTCTGTTATATTCATCTCTCCCCCTGGATATTTAATTCTTATTTTAATTATCCTAATAAATATGTCCTTTTAGAGTAAGCTGACCCAAGTCATCTTAGAAATAGAGTGCAAGTAGAAAATGATGCATGGGTTGTTAAAGGAGGCATTGCCCCCTTGAACATATACGATCACTGTTGGTTGTTCGGTCTTCCTGAGTGTAATACCTTTCAAAGCCAGGATTTCTAAAGTCTATTCTACAAGATGGTGGTTGTTTCCATTCTATTAATTGTTTAATGATTCTGAAGACATGTGGTATTTTAGGTAGGATGTTTTTGGTTGCAGGTTACTGAAAATCCCATCTCATGAACAGGCTTGAACATTAGACCCAAGTGTTTCATGGACTCCAGGCATGATTTGACCAAGGTCCTGCCCCTGGCTCTGTTTCTTGTAGCTTCTCCTAACTTGGCTCTCCTGTGTGCGGTGTGCTTTCCTGAGGCTGCTTCCATCAGCAGAGGCAGGGACTGCCAGCTGCCCCTGATGAAGACGCTCTGCTTTTCTCTGTTTGGGCCACACTCTGCTGGAGCCTGCCCTGAACTGGACGCCGCAGCAAGGGGAATGGGGGGTGCTCAGCTGGCCTGCAGCGTGACCCTGCACAAAGTCCTCAGGCGCTGCACAGGAGAGTGGGGAGAGAGGCTTATTGCTCACTCCATTTGACTAATGAAAAGGGAACAACGGAAGGACTTTGACCTACCATGAGGGGAGCTACTATAAAACTGTACGTACATGCATTTATTTGGGATGGACAATGCCAGATTGTGCCTTGATGGGCCTTGTAAGTTCTATCAAAATACTCTCTTTCTTTTCTTGGCCTCCAGAAAGAATTTGCCTTGGGCAAGTTCTAGAATGGGCAGGTGGGAAGCTTCCTGCAACTCTATTCCTTATATGTAACATTTCTCTACCCCCAGTTTGTAGTTTTATGGGACTCCTCAACCAATTGACAGCTGATTTGAGATTTGAGTTTTGTGCATCAGAGAAGGAAAGTGTGGTTCCATGTACCCAGGGAGTAGACTGGTGCTCACCTCAGTATAGCCACTAACTGCTTTACTACAGAAAGATCCTTAAAGGTATGAATACACTTCTGCAGAGAGTGCTCAGTGGGGGTTCTGCACATATTTTCCTCTTAATTAGCCAAGGAATAGTCCAGTTCTTTTAAGAAAATACACTTTTATTCAGTTTTTATATTTCCAGATACCTGGCTGTCATTTATGTGTGAAGTAAGCATTTAATAGAGGGCTATCAGAAAGTATGGAATAAAAGAAACCCAGTGAGTACATGCACACATCCACCCAGACACACTGATGATTGATTCCTTACCTCCAGCATATTTTTCCCTGCGGGACTAAAGGTAGGACAATGCTTTTTCCTGGAGGAGCACTGTGGCCTTCGAGTCCCCTTGCACAGCTGTGGCTTGGCCATATGCCATAGCATAGGCAGCGTTGTGTTCCCAAGTGAATGACCCAGGGTGGCAGAATGGGTATACTGCCTGGGTAAGGATGGAACATGCCCCAGGAGACCACCTTTGCCATTTCTGAACCTGGACTCAGTTGTCTTGGGAGATTGTCAGCTGCTGGCTGAGGCGAGGTCCCCTTAGTCTCACCAGGGTTTGGAGAAAAGTATAAACTTTGGTGACTTTGTCTTCAGTGAGGAAAACCAGGCCAAGGTGGCCTGAGGCTCTGTGTAGCAGCAAAGACGCTGTGCACTCTAGGTGGTGGTGCTGTGACCATTTCAGTAATCACTGTCCACTGCTTAACATCTGTCCCCACCTGTCCTCACTTCTACCTGAAAAAGCAAGAATGAGGAGATCAAAAGACCATTTGTTGACTCCTGTGTGTTTTTGGTGATGGCACAAGACAACCTAGTGAACCAGGACTGTTTCTTATCCTGAGAAATACCCATGCCAAGAAATGCAAGTCCCACCCAGATGGAGCCGATCAGTGAGATGCGTGCGGTGCTTACTGAGATGAGCCATAGGGCTGCCAAGGGGGACAAGGGGAGGGTGGGGAAGGGCAGGAGGTGCTGGCGAACCAGACCAATTAGGGGCTCTCCCTTAAAGAGAGTGGCCAACTATTTAGACTACAAGCTTTGAAGGGTTGTGGACTGATTGATTCAAAGGCTCTGGATTGATCTGGCTGGGACATGACCAGACTCCAGGTTGAAGCTGCGGTTCTTGGGAACCAGGGTGTTGATCAGGGCCCTGAGGCAGAAGCCGCATCATGTGAATGTTGTGAACACTGGAATTTCTATAAAGACCCTCAAGAAGGCAGGTCTGCCTGGAAGAGCAATTTCAAACTTAGCACAGCCTGGTCTTTGGCAAAAGCCTGGAAGATTACTGAAGGTCTGTGGAATCCATCCACACATCTACCTGCCAGGGATTCAGCTGGCTGGGCCCAGCATCAAGCAGAATTGCTTTCACCTAATTGCAGTCTCAAGGTCAGACCATCACCCTGATGTTGATGAGGACATTCATTATGTGACACCGTCTTTGCTTTACCAGCACCCTCAGGAGAAATGTGACCTACTTGAGTAACAGGAAACTGGCACTTCTTAGTGTGAGACTTATTTTTATCTTAAGGACACTGTGGACCTGGTTAAGTGTCTTCGCTCAGTGTTGGAAGTTTCTTAAAGCCAAATGTCAGCGTTAAACCTGTAGAGAGGGTTTTATAGTATGCATTTTTATATTCATGAACTCCCGGCTTGATTTTGTTCCCTGTCCTCTATCCTAGTCTCATTCCTTCTTTTTCACCTCCTTTTTGTTTATGTTACAGTGATGCATTAGGTGTATCCTTTCAGTTTGTCTTCCAGTGCTGTGCTAGAAACTTTGTGTTTGTTAAATATTCAGGAATTTCATGAGTCCCTTGCTAGACAGTTGACAGCGTCAGATCAGCCACAGTGAGAGCATTTACACCATGGACATAGGCAGACACTACAAAATATCTTTTTTCTTTTTCCTTCCAGAGAGCTAGTCTATCAGCACACCACTATCTAAATACTTTCTGGAAACGTGGAAAAGGTGGAGTCTTAATCAATATGTAAAAGCATTATGAAATAATCTACCTTATTTAAGTATGATGTATCATTTAAAATCTTTTTTTAAGAGTTAATATAATTTTATTTGTAACTACTGACATCATGATGTCTAATTCTAACAACATCTCTCTTTAGTCCAAATGGGCACCATGATCTTTGTCTAAACAAGTTTTCCAAAGTTTCAGAGTACAGTATAAAGACAAGTTTCAAGGGAGAAGCTGGGATAATGTTTTTATAAAGCTCCAATTGTAAAGGAACAACTGAGGTTCAGAATCTAGATTCTCTAACTCACTCTGTCTCATAGAGTAGCCTCTAGTCACATGTTTCTACTGGGAACTTGACATGTGGCTACTCTGAACTGAGATATGCAGTAAGTGTAAGTACACATTGGTGTTTGAATATTTAATATGATACAGTGTTAATAATTTTTATATTAACTACATGTGGTGGTGAGAATATTTTGAATATATCATGTTAAATAAAATATATTATTAACATTAATTTCATCTTTTTTGTTTTCCTTTCTTTAATGTAACTAGGAAATTTTAATTATATATGTGGCTCTCATTAGTGGCTCATACTATATTTTGATTGGAAGGCACTGCTCTATCCTAACAGGCAGAATGAACATTTCTCAATTCTATCATCTTGGGGCTGACAAATTATTGACTCAAAAATGAAAAAAAAAAAAAAAAGCTCCTCAGTCCTTGAGGTGTTCAAAGTCTCATTACTCCAAGACCTCTCATTAATTCCTATGTAGTAACAGGACTGGCTCCTACACAGAGAAAGCACTGAGTGACCTGGGAAGCAGCTAGACATTGGCTTTTCATACACACTGGACCTAGTTTCTTTCATTTTCTACATATAGACATTTAAACTAAATTGTTGCTGAAGGTCATTAGAAATTAGCTTGGATCCCAATGTATGACAATGTGTGTAGAAGTAAAATAATCATCATTTCTTCTAAAAGGAAAAAAAAAATAACCATGGCATCTTGTAATGGGTACATCATCTGTGCGTGAAGTTCTTGAGTCAAGTCAACTGATAGGGGCTCCTGTGGTGACCAGCTTGTAATAGGCTCCTTTCTGGGCCATCAGCTCTTTGTGGGTCCCCTTCAATCACTGTCCCCTGTGACACAACAGCAATGATATTTGAGTTCTGGATGGTGGACAGCCAGTGGGCAATGACAATGCAGGTCCAGCCTTCTCTGGCTTTGTCCAGGGCAACCTGCACTGTCTTTTCACTTTCTGTGTCTAAGGCAGAAGTAGCTTCATCTAGCAGTAAGATTTTAGGATCTCGCACGATGGCCCGAGCAATAGCAATGCGTTGTTTCTGTCCACGAGAGAGTTGAGACCCCTGGGACCCAACGTTAGTTTCATATTTCTCTGGGAGAGACATGGCAAAGTCATGCAGCTGAGCCTGCTTTGCGGCTTCTATGACTTTTTCCATGGGAATTTCTTTGGTGGTGTCCCCATACTTGATATTGTCCATTATGCTGCAGGCAAACAACACTGGTTCCTGGGAAACAATTCCTATGTTCGAGTGGAGAAACTGAACATTGACCTTTTTGCTGTCATGCCCATCTATCATCACCTTCCCTTGGTCAGGATCATAGAAACGTTCCAACAGCTGAATGCTGGTGCTTTTGCCACATCCACTGCTCCCAACAAATGCCAGTGTTTGCCCTGGACTAACCGACACCGAGAGACCATTCAGAACTTGTATATTAGGTCGAGATGGATATGTAAATTTACAGTCAACAAAGTCAATTTGCCCCTGGAAATTGTCCCATTTTTCACCTGCACCACTGTATACACTGATAGGAGGTCGTTAGTCCAGCAGTTGAGAAAACCGTGCAGCTGATATTTTAGCTTTGGCATAACTTGGAGTATAAGAGTAGGCTTTTCCAAGAGCTGTTGCACTCAGCACAACTGAAGAGATCACCCTGAACACATAGCTGAAATGGAGCCCTGCATTGTAGATTAAGTAACCTCTGTATCTGTAGGAAGCAGAATTAGCAACAAACACAATGCATTGGGAAAAACCAAAGCAGAATCCATAAACATTTGCTTTTCGAATGGCTGTCTTGAATGGCTTCACCAGCTCTCTCTCAAATGCTTCAATAAACTGCCTCTCCTTTCCAATTCCAGCAATAGTGCGGACATTACTAAGGATTACTTCACTTGTAATCTGTCCCGCAATCTCCAGAGCCTGCTTGTCTTGAGAGGCAAACCCTGTCAACATTCTGGTCTGTACAGCTCCTGATAAAGCCAAGAAAGGGAGGAAACACACTATGACCAGGCTTAGCTTCCAGCTAAAGAAGAAGGCGATAATCATGGCCACAGTGATGTTAGTGAAGGAATTGACCATCATTCCAATTTGAGAGCCGGTAGCCCCTTGAACTTGGGAGGCGTCTGTAGCAAGCCTTGTTGTCAGTGCTTCAGGGCTATTTCTGAGGTCATCAAACCAGCCAATGTTTTGCCCTAATATTGCTCTGAAACCAAATTTACGTAGCCTTTTTGTGAGGAGTTCTCCAGATTTAGCAAAAGCATATCCCTGCAGAAATTGAGTGCAAAGGGATACACAGCCCATCACTACAAAAAGCAGGCACACACCATGGATCTGTGACCTTTGCTCTTCTTTATCAGGCAGTGAAAAAGTCTTTGCAAGTAGTAAGCAAGAAAGTAACCCAAGAATCTGGCTGAATAAAAAGGCATAAAGGGGTGTGACTGCCCCATTGGCAGCTGCACCCACAGACCCTACCAGCATGTAGGGCCATTCTGGGGCATTGAGTTTCAGAATCCTCCTGACCGGGGCAGGTTCAATTTCTTCTTCCATGGGAAGGTTCTTGTCCTTTCTGTCTTCTTCATAAAGAGATCTATGATTTACAACAGCTAACAGAGGCTCATGTACCAAGTAAGAAAGCTGAGACTTAGAGCGTTGCCGGATGGAAGCTTAGGTTACCAGAAAAGGTGTCAGACTCAAATCCATTCCAAACCCACATGGTTCTTCTAATTGTTATAATGGCAATTGGTCCATTGCCTTTACTTCCCTTCTGATGTATCATTTAAAATCTTAAGAGCAGTGGCACTGTTTTAAGTCTAAACATGTTTCAAGAGTAAATAAATTGATAAGATTGTGTTTCATTGGTGGCAAGGAAAGAACAGGATTCATCTAAAATGTGTCTCCTAGTTAGCTTGGCTGTCATGTAGCTGATCTGCAAAGGAGAATATTCATGTATACAGATGTGGCAACAACTGTTTACATTTCTGCTGATCACATTTTAAGCTGGACTCTGGTAGAGCTAAGATTTTGGTAAATCTAGCAGTATTAGAAGCAGGTTGATATCCTATTCAATGTGGGATGGTTGCTAAGGGACCAGTCAATGTAAATTAGAAGTAATAATAGCACTGGTTTAAAAGGGCAAAGAATTAGGGCTGGGAAGGGAAAAGACTCCCTATAGAGGACAGGGTTTTTGCAATGACTAGTGTGGATGCTTGCTACACAGCTCTTTCCGCTTCTGCCCTGGGCCAGAGAGCCAACGAGGAGTGGGGACGGAGCAGAAGACAGGAACACTGCAGCCATGCTGGCTTCTCTGGCCTTGGCTTGGCCTGGAAGAAGTTCAGAGAGCCACAGAAAGGAAGTTTGTTATCAGAGTTGGCAGCCCTGCAGTCGTAAACTTCGGCAACAACAGGAAAGAGAAGCGAAAACATCTCTGACAGTCAAATAGCAATTCCTGGGCCACAAATGATACAAAAGACAGCTGGAATGTTCCCCAAACCTGAAGATCCCCAAAGGCATTGCAGTGGGACGGTTCATTGACCGTGGAAGAGCTAATGGTTGTTGTATGTACAGCCTAAAAATAAAGTGCTGATAAACACTGTCCCTGATTTAACCCATTTAATTCTCACAACAGAAGAAGAAACTGAAGCATGACAGATAATGTCGCTTGCTTGAGATGCTCCATGAATAAGAGAAGGAGCCAGGATCTGAGTCTCTGCTTTCAACTGCTTGGGTCAAACAAAAGGATGGATTTGTGTGAATGGCGATGGTGTGAAATGCAGTCATCCGGCAGGGGAACAGGTAAGTGAAGAGTGAAGATGTAAGTAGCTGAGGAAGGGAGGTGGGGGAGAGGGGCAAGGGAAAGTGATGGCGGGAAGATGGAGACAAATGTATTCGAACATTAAAAAAATAAAATAAATTTTTTTAAAAAAGATGTAAGTAACATGAGGGGTGGGGACAAGACAGGACCCAGTTCAGGAGACATACAGCCTTGAATCAGAAAGAGACAAAACCCACCTAGAAAACCTAGACGATCTGCTATCTACTGGCCAAATGGCACCATATATCCAGGCCATTGCTGAGCCTCGATACTGTTAATGGCAACTACTGGAGGGGGTTTGAGGGGTTGGGGGATTAGTGAAAAGGCTGGCCAAGGCCTGCCCTCTCCTTTCCTTTAGTTAGTAGTTCTGTGTTCAGGGAGAGTCCATGCCAGTTTAGGACAGTGTTTTGAGGAGACCACGCTGAGCTGCATTTTGGGAGTATTGACCTGTAATCCAAGGGGAAGATTATCATCACATACGGGACCCTATTGAGCAGTGGGCTGGGACAGAGATTTCAACTTCCTGAGACAGGGGCAAATCCTAAAAACACTAAGCTAACCCTTAAAGGAGAAAAGGGAATCTGTATAACTGGAACAGGATAGTGCTGAAAATTCGGTTGGATGAGCACAGCCTTGGCTCTTCCTTGTGAACTCTGTCTGTATATTCCTGGAGACTGCAACTAATTATCAAGAGCACCAGCACCACCACATTCTTTATTAGCTGATAAAACCTTTGTGAATTGATGGTCAAGTACAGCTGGTCCTTGAATAACGTCGTTTCATTCAATGCCATTTCCTTATAATGTCTATGAGAGGCCTTAGAAACTTTACTCTTGTTTATATCAATTAACCTACAGTAAATTTGTTTTATTATAATCGTTGAGCTTAAAGTCACAGAAGCTGTTGATGATGTTAAGTGAGGGTTTACTGCAATTATAGATTAAACCACCACATAAACACACTAGGGCCCAGGCCGTGTTTGATTGGGGGAGCTCTTGGCTGCTCAGTGGACGGAGCCCTGACTTCTGCTAGGTGACTTTGGTGTTTCCAGATTTGACAGCACTGAAAGCAAGCTCTGGTGCCTGCGAAGTGAACCGGAGGTGGCAGCGTCCTCCCCTAGCTTCCTCCCACATAGCCCATGTCTTCACCAAAGAGCGTTCTCTCCCTTTAAAAAAAAAACAAAAACAGTTTTATGATATATAATTTCCATTCCATAAAATTGTGTTCTAAGTGCACGTATAATTCAACATTTTCTTGTCTATTTAAAGAGTTGTACATATATGACAAATCTAATTTTAGAACATTTCCATTACTCCGAAAAGGAACCTCTTTGCCCATTTGTATTCATACCCCATCCTTACCTGTGAGTCCAGGCAGCCACTAATCTATCTTTTGTCTGAACAGTTTCATGTGCTGGTGAAACAGGAGATGTTGTGCAAACACAGCATCTCCCCTGCACCTGGGGTGGAACAAACACAGAAAAGTTGACTATTTTTTGCATGAGCTGACGTTCATTCCCATAATATAGAAAATTGGTAACTTCACAAAATGAATGTGTTCAAAGATGCAATTAATTACCTACTGCTTATCATCTTTGAATATATTCTGTGAAAGATAAGAGTCATTGGCTGACTTAAAGGTCCAAACTTTATATTGCTGGATTCCAGAGCTGCCCATGAAAAGTAGGGTGAGTGTCTTGTTTGTTTGTTTACCCATTTTTTCCCCTCTGAAATTCCATGTTGTTGATGTATCTTATACCCTTGGGTGCTCCTCAGGATATGAGTTGCTACTACAAAGCAGACCTTGTGAGGAAACTGGTCCGATGTTAGAACTCCTCAGAACATCACAGATGCATTTGAATCTTGCTTGTAGTATTCGATGGTTAGTGTGGACCACTTTCTCTCCTCTCTTGGGTGGACCATTTGCTCCTGCAGTTTTCTCTATTCTCTCCTGTACTGTCAAGTTTTCCGTCTCCACTGTGCCATTTGCATCAGGATGCACACTTCTTGCAATTACTTCTATTTACACAAACCTGCTCTTTATCCTGACTTCCCCTCTGGATATTGCCCATCATCCCAGATTCCCTTTTCAGAAAATTCTGTGATAGAATTGTCAAAGGTCACTGTTCTTACCTCTTCTTCAGTTTCCCCTTAAACCCACTCTGCACAGGGCTCTGTGCCTGCTGATCCACCAAAATGGCCAACAGTGTTGTTGCCAGTCACCATTATGTGGCCAATCCAGTAGTTGACCCTCAGCCTCTCATAACTTATCAGTTGCATTCAACACATTGATCATCCTTGCCCTCCTGGAACACTTTCTTCTCTTGGCCTCTGCAATAGCAATGTCTCTTGCTGTTCATCTATTTTGCTGCTCCTTATTCAGTGTGCTGTGCTGGCTACCAATGATCAAATCTCTAACATATCTAAATGTTGAAGAGTCCCACATCTTGCTTCTGCACCTCTTCTCTCTTCTGCCCGGGGCATCCTCCAGGTGATCTTATACAGGTTGATGAGTGCACTAAATATCGTCTCTGCTGACTTCCAAATTTGTGTCTCCAACCCACTCCATCCTCAAATAGTCGAAGTTCAAGAGAATTGTTCTTGGAGATGCTGGAAATGTGAGAGGGCCCAGTGGGCTCTGTCCTTGGACCTCTTCTCTCCTTAGTGGTCTTCTTAGTGGTCCTCCCTTAGTGGTCTTATCCAATCTCACAGCTTTATTTTAATGAAGTCCAGCATATCAATTGTTCTTTCATGGACCATGTTCTTGGTGTTGCATCTGAAAACTCATCACTGAACCCAAGGTCACAGATTATCTCCTAGAAGTTCTATGGTTTTGCATTTTATTACATTTTGCCCTGTGATCCATTTTGAGTTAATTTTTATGAAAGGTATAAGGAAGTCTGTATCTAAGTTCATTTTTTTTTAAATATGGATATCCAATTGTTCCAGAGCTATATGTTGAAAAGACTGTCTTTCTCCACTTAATTGATTTTACTTCTTTGTCAAACATCAATTGACTATATATGTGTGTGCCTATTTCTGGCCTCTTTATTTTGTTCCATGTCCCGTGGCTTTTAATACTGATATCTTTTTAACTTATATGTCTAAGCTGGACTTCTCCTCTGACATTCATACACATATATCCACTGCTTCGCTGGTATCTTCACCTGAATGCCTAATTGACCTCTCAAACTGAACACATCCAAATTTAACATGCTCTCCCTCCCCCAACCCAATCTGTTCCTCCCCCCATCTCAGTAAATGGCAACTATATCTTTCATGTTGCTCAGCTCAAAAATCTTGGCTTTGCTCACTCTCTCACACTTCTCATTAAATAGGTCAGAACATTCTGATGGCTCTACTTGAAAATATATCAAGAATCCGGCCACTTCTCCCCATCTACATGGCTACCCTGCTGGTGAAAGCCCCATCCTCCCTCGCCTGGGCCATTCAGCAGCCGCTGAACTGGTCTCCCTGCTTCTGCCCTTGCTTCCGTATAGTCTGTGTCATGGAGCATCTAGAGGGATCCTGCCAAGGTCATTTCACAATAACTCTTCTGCTTAGTTCCCTCCAGTGTCTTCCCATTGAACTCAGAGACTTTCAGATAGCCTACATGGTCTTTTATTCACTTTTTCTACCCTCTCACCTCTCCAACCTCACCTACTGCTTCTCTTGTTTACTCTGCCTCAGCCACCCAAGCCTCCTCACTGACCTTCAAACAACCTGCACAGGCTCCTGCCTCAGGGCCTTTACCCCAGCTCCCTCTGCCTGGAACATTCTTCTCCAAGATACCCATGGGGCCTACCACCTCACTTTCTTCAAGTCTTTGCCCAGATTTCACCTTCTTCATGAG